TGTGGCAGCTCTTAGCTTAGGTAGAGTGGCAGCTCAGGACCTTTCTCCATGGGTAATGTGGGGCTGGAGAGAGCCTTCAGGGGCCTGGCTATGGACATGACCCCTAGACCCTGGCAGATTTTTCGGTTTAGGAAAAATCTCAAACATACTCTCAAAGAGATGCTGTTCCCGTGCTACTTACCATGAAAGAACTGTAGCTCATTTGTAATTCAGGGGCTATTTGGGTTGTGTTAAGTTTGTAGAAAAGACCTGAGAGAGATTGTGCCCTGTGGTTTAATTCTGCTTTGCAATTCATTCCCTTCCCACGTGAGCTTTTAAGAACAGAAGCTGGTGAATAGGGAATCACTAAGAGGCAGGAATAATCAGCTGATTTTCAGCAAGTGGGGCAACTCTGGCCAAGTATAAAGGTCTCAACTCAGATGGGTATTCAACCTACATTCGTGTTTTATGGAGCCCGAGTGATCTTGGATCATAAATTTCTGATCTGCTTTTTCACTGTCCATCTCTGACAGTCAGTCTTTTGCGACCCTTCCATCTGGTTTCCCTGGCTGGTGGGGGAAAATAGGAGGAATGTGCACTCATCTTAACCGACAAACAGCATCAAGTCTTGGGGGGCCCGAGAACATATTCCCATTCACCCCATAGAAATGGTGATCTGGTTGACCGAGAGACTGGGATTGCTAATCTTGGCTCCTGCACAGAATCTGCTCTGTCCTGGACACAGGCTCAGTATGTACAAATGTCAACATTGGGGCTCTGTTTGGGCCTTAGAGAACTTGGCTTGTAACCTGTTCCAGTGTGTGGAGTGAAAAGTCAAGGGATATCGCACAAAGGTTATGGGTGTCCTGCCACCGTTCTGCGAAGTCGCCTATAACTGGTTGAGTGCGGGAAGGAATCTCTGCCGCAAGCCTCCCTGTTCCTTCATAGGAGAGTCACCTGAGTATGTCACACTCCCAAGTTGTCAAGAATACTGGCGTGAGTTCTGAATGGAGCATTGAATAATTAACTTTGGGGCCTGTACCATAGGCAGTTTGTTCTTTTCTAAATTTCAGTATTTTGGGTCTAACTGCACATGCATGAAGTATTTGTACTTTTTTTTATTATTAATTTCAGCTAATTGTTCATTTCTTTCTCAATTGGACCCAGAATATGTATCCGTTACAAAGATCGTGGGTGAAGAATTTCAATACCAATTACAACAGTAAAAATCTACAAATTTAAAGCTATTATAACATTACTGAGTTCTCTGAGTTTGTTATGTGGTTAAGCCATATACATATATTCATATTTGTTAACTTAGGTCAGAATTGTGGTCTTGGGGCTATAATTCTGTTGCATTATTTGAATTTCACTTACAGTGTTGAAGATACTGACCTGCATTCATACTTTCTCTTTAGAGTCTAGAACTTGCTACGGCAAGAACGGATCAGTCTTGTGAATTGCTTAGATTATATAAACTCAAGAACCCCAAATTGAATCCAATTGTTAGTGTTTCATTAAAGTATTTTCACAGTTCTCCTTACTGATTATATAGTTGAGTAAAAAATTCAAACCAGGCCAAGACAGTGAGGAGTTAGTCAGTCCCAGGGAGGTCGGAAGAGACTTTAAAGGAAGTGTTGCTTTGATTGCGTGTTCCGTTTGTACTCAGCCAGAGCTACCGACATGAAACAGTATTTTTAAAATGAAAAAGGAGCCTGTACAATATAAATTTTTTGTTTTAGATAGCAAAATAGCAGTTTTAGAAGCTTCCATACTGTATATATATTTTTTTCATTTCTGCATGTGGAAACAAGGGGAATAATAGGAGAAATGTGATAAACATAATATTTTAGCAAAAAGCATATAAACTTTAAACTATAGGTATAACAATATCCTTTACCAGATTTATTTTTCTAAGCAACCCTCCCCCCCCCAAAAAAAAAAAAAAAAAAAGTCTGGGCCTACCAGTGATTTTACTTAAGTTCACTGACAAGGTCACTGTTTTTGAAAATGTCCAGAGGTATTTACTATTAAAAACTTGCCACACAGTCTTTCTTGTTTTTTCCTGCTTGATATTTGCCCCTATTTTCCATTCTCCTCTCATCTTCCCTTCTCTTCCTTCTGCCAGCCTTTGTGGGGCCCTCTTTTTATATCCCTTTCTTCCCCTCTTCTTCTGGTTTCATTTCTCCAACCTATTCTCAGGGACTGCTTAATGTAGGCTTCCATGTGGAAGGAGGGCTCAGGTGCACAAAATGCTCCTCCTTGCTCTGGAGGAAGAGGCTGTCCCACCCAGACTGTGAGGGCACTCAGGGGCTGAGATGGAAGGACAGGCCCTGGAGCCATGGTGTGGCCGCCAGCCAGGAGAAACTGGTTTGTCATAATTCCCCAGAGCAAACTTTCAGGCTCCTCACATGGATCCCACTTCAGTTTTCTTATGACTGAATAATGCTTCCTGGAATCTTTTTTTTCCCCTCTCTCTCTCTCTGTGTCACAGTTTTGTATAGGTTGCTGGTTTCTAACTGATGACTTTTAGGTTAAAACTACCTTCTCTTCCCCCGCAGAAAGCAACTACTTCAGCTGGGGAATTTGTTTTGTTTTTATGATCAGGTGAAGCACTCTTAATCCCTCGGTAAACTAGATGTCACCTGTCTAGGTCTCTAAGCCGCAGGTTTCCTTCTCTTCCCCTGAAGATTTCCTGGTCTGTGAACTCGTCAGTCCTTTTGAAAATGTGAATGGCCTGGAAATGCTTGCTGATGACCTCACCTGCAGAGATTGTGGGCATGGAGCCTGGATATCCATCTGCCAGGACTCTGTGTCAGGCAGGAAATCCTGTGAAATTCTTGTTCAGGGTTAACCAAATGGGAGAGGCTCTGAACAGTTTCATTCTGGCCATCTCCTCCCTTATAAGTGCCTGAAGGAGCCTTTTTAGGCATGAATTCTTGCTGGGTCAGGATGGTGGATGCAATGAAACATATGGAGGCTTGGTATAGAGACCTGGCATTAGAAGGGGTCGCGCCCAACCCTACAGAAGGGTGGTGGAAAGGGGTCCCTAACCCTCATGATATTGTGGGTAAGAGCATGAGCCCTGGAGTTGGACAGGCATGGGTGTGGATTCCGGCTTGGCTACCTATTTAGCTGTGTGATCTTGGATCCCCAGCCTCAGTTGTTATCCTCATCTGTGAAATGGGGATAAGAAGAGTATCAACTTTTCTAGAGTTTTTATGAGAGTTCAGTGGGAAAACAGGTGTAAAACGTTTCGCACATTTCCTGGCATAGGGTAAATGTTCAGTAAATGGTTTCTCATTTTAATATTGATTTGGGACTATATTTTTATACTGCTTCCCAGCTTTTTCCAAAAATTAAAGTAACATGTGGTTGTCTTGGTTTCCAATGACAACACAATGTAGAGAGCCTTCTTCACTCTACCATATGCATCACACCCCTGGAATTCACGGACATGTGCGAGGTGGACAGGAAGCATTTGAAGGTTACGGTTTTCTGGATCCTCAATTTGTAGTTCTCCATTCTCAAACTGAGACTACATCTGCAGTTAAAGGGTTACCTGTGTTTTCTCCCAGCTTCTCCTTTCACATTGGCCTTTTTTTTTTTAATAAATCTTTATTGTTCAGATTATTACAGTTGGTCCTCTTCTCCCCCCCCCCCCCCCCCAGTCACATTTGCCCTTTTGCCATTTTACCAAAGCAAGGCATCCCTCCTGCCTATCACAACTGTTACTACAGTGCGTGGCCCCAAGGTGTCAGACCACTGGGGCTAAAATAAAAGGGGGTCAATGTGAAATATTTTCAGTGAAGCCTCCTTTACTTAAGCCACCATAAGGCCCTCCATCTTTCTAAGAGTTTCATCCTCAGGAACATGTTATTCATAAGGCTTAGTGCATTAAAATTGAAAGTAACTATGTTGTTTTGATCATACGCTATTAATGATAGTTGTGGTGGTTATATAATCCACAAAAAAATCTCTTTTATTCTCAAAGCTAAAGTTACAGGGATTTTTAGAAAATTATGTTTAAAATTATAGTTTTGCTTTCAGGGATAGTAGCATGACTGATAAGATACCCGAACACATAGGATTACTAGGTTACATTAGGAAATTTTGGGGGGAAATTGATGTAGGAAGGTGACTTCAGGGGAGAAAGAAGACGAGGGTAAAATCTCCAAGGGAAGCTTATGTACTTTTTAAATGGATGATGGGTGGATATCAGATCGTTATGGCTTTTATATTCCATTGAATATATTTAAACGACCACAACAGCACACATTTAAAATGTCTAGATTGACAATTAGTAAAATACATCTTGAAAATTCTTTAATGTAGGATGAAAATATGAGACGTGAACTTAAAAGTAGGTCTAGCTCAGCTGGTGTAGCTCGGGATCCAAGATTTCACCAGGACACAAGATCAGGATACATGCCCAGGTTGCAGGCTTGATCCCCAGCCCCAGTAGAGGCCCTGCAGGAGGCAGCTTTTTCATTGATGTTTTTATCTCTCCATTCCTCTCCCTTCTTCTCTCTCTAAAAATTAATAAAAATATACATTTTAAAAATATGTTTTTAAATTTAATTTTGTTGTTTTCTTTAAAAAAACTTTTATTTTATTGTTTAAAGTATTACAAATAGTAGTACATATATCTCCTTTTTTCCCCCATTGACCTTCCCCCGGTCTCCTCTACCCCCCCTCCCCCCCCCCCCCACACACACACACAGTGTCTTGCGTCCATTTATTATGCTTATATGCATACATACAAGTTCTTTGGTTGATCTCTTACCTCCCACCCCCTAATTTTGTTGTTTTCCATTTATCACTGTATACCTTCTTCCACCTCCACCTACCCCCCTACCCCATGCAATTTGAGGATGTATGAGACTCCAAAACTTCACATGTACTGAATTCATCATTTTGCATAAATTTCTCTTAATTCACTTTTAAAGTCATAAAGTTATGCCTTACATAAAACAATCATTAAAGTGAATGAACTAAAAACTCTTTTTCTCCCCCACCAGGTGAAAAGAAATGGATTATCTCAGACAGTTAGCCAGGAGGAAAGGAAGAGACAAGAGGTATGTTTTCTACCAGCAGATGCTTTAGGGCGTGAGTGGGGAACGTCTGGCCAGTGAGCCGCGTAAGGCCCATGAAACCATTTGGTCTGGCCCTGCCAAGGTATGAGGGGTAGCGTAGTTAAATATTTGACCAAACACAGTGGGCTGATTTTTAAGTTGATAATTTCCTATGGCCTGTGAATGTTATCAATATTCAAATGGCCCTTGGCAGAAAAAAGCTTCCCCACCCCTGCCTTAGAGCTCTGAAGTGTGCATATGCTTCCACCTACTGTGTGCACTTGCTCAAGTGCTTTGCTTTGCAAATGTGTGAAATAAATACAGGCATGGGAGGAATAAAATTACAGAAGACATATGTGATCACTGTCAAGCGAAACTGCTCATAACGTCCCAGGAAAGAATATTTTAAAATATCCTGACGTTCATTTAAAAACAAAGCACCTAGTCCAGGTATTTAAACTGGAATGAAAAAGGACGTTAGTGAAAAAACTGGTGAAATCTGAATAAAGTATGTACATTTGTCTGTAGATTAAATGTAACGTACCCTGGCTATGTGAGGTACCCTGGCTAGGGGAAGCTGGGTGAAGGAGACACAGGAACTCTGAGCCCGCTTTCCGATATTCCTGTAAATTTAAAACTATGCCAAAATAAAACTTCACTTATTAAAAAATAAAATGTAACAATAGGGTTTTACAACTTGAAGTTTAAGTAACTGAAGTTTAAGAAAATTACTTGTTGTGATAATACTATGAAGGTCTCAAAGCATTTTCTACCTGTTTTATGCATATTTATATAAATTTACGCATATACATGCATATGAATTAATCTTACAATGGTCATGTTGCATCCTTATTTCATTGGCATGGAGTAATACAATAATATAAGGGCACATTATATTGCCATTTTTTAAAGTTATAATATTAGTATAACCATCACTGAGAAGTTATATTTGTAATTTTTCTTCATTTTTTTAAAAGTAAAGAAAATAAGACTTTCAATAAAGTAGAAATCCTGTATTTTCATTCTCAGTCCTATTCCCAACCCCAGAGGCAACTATAATTATGAATTATATAACTGTCCAATCAGTATTTTTAACTCGGTATTTTTTAATGTGTTCTATAGATTTATATACATGTACTGGTGTGTGTGTGTGTGTGTGTGTGTGTGTGTGTGTGTTAAAACATAGATAAATGATTATGAGTCTGAGCATACTTTTGGTTACTTTTTACGTTCAACATTGTTTTTGAGATTTATCAGTGTTAATGTGTATTAATCTAGATCACTCATTCAGACCACCTTTTTTTCTTTTCTTGTTAATGCTCACCCGAGGATATTTTTCCGTTGATTTTTAAAGAGAGTGGAAGGGAAAGGGAGAAACAGAAAGAAGCATTGATGTGCAAGAGACACATCGATTGGTTGCCTCCTGCACGCCCCCGGACCAGGGCCAGGGAACCTGCCACCAAGGTGCATGCCCTTTACCGGAATCGAAACCAGGACCCTTCAGTCTGAGGGCCAATACTCTGTCCACTGAGCCAAACCAGTTAGGGCAGACCACCTTTTAAAAAAAAATACATTTTTATTTATTTCAGAAAGGCCGGGAGTGAGAGAGAGATATTCAAACATCAGTGGTGAGAGAGAATCATTGATTGGCTGCCTCCTGTGTGCCCTGCACTGGGCAACTGAAGCCACCACCCAGGTTATGTGCCCTGACTAGGAATCAAACCGTCACCTCCTGGTTCATAGGTTGATGCTTAACCATTGAGCTACCACCTTTTAAAAATCTGTTTTCCAAATGATGGACCATAGGTGACATATTTTTTTCTTTATTGTTAGCATTGTGATATAAACAATGTTTCTCTTTCCCTGTGGACAAATTTAAGAGCTTCTCCAGAATCCTGATTCCATTTGAACATTTCTGGGGTTTTTTAATCTCTTTCTATTGGGAGCTATTTTGTTTTCCTTATATTTTGAAAATATTTATTTAGATTTGCGATATGAAAAAAAGTGTGACAGCAGCAACTCTACCTTTATGGCTTCTTTCTATTCCTATGTACCTATTTTTAGCAGGGGTAACCTGATTTGCTTTTAAGTAGTTAATGTTGCAGGTGTTTTATCAATTACATTAACCCTATTATATGCAAGTACCACTTATTCATCTTTTCCTGTGACCTATTCTTTACAGTTCATTGTATCTTTTTGTTCAGATCTTCATATTTTGGATTTGATTATAAAAGTCTTTAATTTTTAAAATATTTTAAGTCGTATCCATCAACAACCTGAAGTCCCTTAGTTTTGACTGGAAAGTGACAATTTTCTTTAGTTGGCATTGCTCTTCCTGGGGATAATCGTATGATCATTGTGTTATAGAATTACATAAGAAACAGGTTCAGTGAGACACCTAATGTGCCTACTCTAATTTACTCTTTAGAATTTATATCACTTAAATCCCTGAGCACAAACAAGGCTAGAGCAGGGCATTGAAGAAAGATTTCCCTAAAAGCTTATGGATGCTGAACAGAGAGATGCATATTGAGATTGGCACCACTAATCTGACTTACAAATATGGCTCACCCACCAGTAGCCAGGCCTCTACCTGCCCAGCCTCCCCTGCTCCCACCCAGCCTTAGCAGCAGCACAGGGCGTCCTGGGAAGAATCTTCTGAGCAAGGGCTTGCAGGGAGGAGCCCCAGAGGGCAAGGTGATGATGGCAGGGTTACTAGGGAGGTCTCCAGGAAGGACGTGAATCTCAGGATGTCCAGGATCCCTCCCTAAGGAGGAATTTCCCCTGTGTTGTCATTCTTGGAGGGCCTGAAGTTGATTTTTGTTAAGGGGCTAGATGAATTCCTTACCTAGGGCACTGATGTCCATCCACCTTAGTGGGTTGGCATTTCATCATGAATGAATGCTTATCAGGAAAACCACTGTATACCTGCCACCAAGAGTTTCTGCAGAGGGCCCTTTGCTCCTTCTTGAGACGCTGACAAGAGCAGAGGTGGTGGCCTGTTGAACAGGCAGAATTGCTTTCAATATGGATGAGTTGATATAAAAGAATTCCTGAGGCAGTCAAGAGCCTTTTGAGGGTAGGTGCAGTCATGCTCTCTTAACACACCCAGAATGTTTGCTGTCCTTGACTGCAGACGATTCAGATTCAAACGTAGGTAGAGAAAGGTCCCAAAGAGACCGAGAGGACTGTATTTGTGAGACAAATTTTTCTCTGAATCCTAAGTGATGTCCGTACATCTTTACTGTCCCAGAGCAACATGCTTTAAAAGCAGGGCTGCAGGATATGACCCCAAAGATTAATTAGTGTCACACGGAGGGAGATTTTATCACATGCCCTAGCTTCCTGACATAGATCCTACCCCTTGGCAAAGTATGACCTCAGAATGCAATCTCGTTATACAAGCGATGATTTCATTGTTTCTTATTTACCCTATGGGCAGTGACTCTCTCTCTCTCTCTCTCTCAAGATTTGGGTATAAGTGCCTTATATAAAGACAGTAGTGTGGTGATACAGTTTTCTTTATTATTATTTTTTTGTAAATATGCTCTTATTGTGTGTGTGTGTTTTGAGAGAGAGAGATAGAAACATCAACGAGAGAGAAACTGGGGATGAGCTTGCATGCTGACTTGTGTCCTGACTGGAAATCGAACCGGTGACCTCTTGGTGCATGGCTCGATACTCAACCACAAGCCACACTGGCCAGGTGTAATACAGTTTTCTTCATGCATATCTTTTTGTACTTTTCAAGATATTATATTCATCCTTATACGCAGGATTATGGGAGTTATAGTTAGTTCTTCAGTTAATAGAATTAATAATATATTTCTTTTTCCTCCTTACCAGGCCATCTTTGAAGTTATATCCTCTGAACATTCATATTTGCTCAGCTTGGAGATCCTGATACGAATGTTTAAAAATTCTAAAGAACTGAGCGACACAATGACCAAAACAGAGAGTCACCATCTTTTCTCCAATATTACAGATGTCTGTGAGGCAAGCAAAAAGTAAGTTCCCTTTATTTATTTACCTTTGGTCATGACAACGCATTGCTTACTAACAGTCACCTGTGTTATCTCAAAAGGAAGGCATTTGTAGACATGAAATGTCTCATCTACTCAATTGGCTTTTATCTTTATTCTTTGAAATAAATTTAAAGATACATTTCAGGCTGTTGACATAGAGACAGATGCTAAGTGTGTAATTATTTGTCACAGCAGACTGTGTTATCTAAGGTCTCGTCATTCCTTCTCTTCCCTCATTCTGCTCACTCTTTTCCTTTTCAATTATGCCAATGATGTGACAGCACTTAGTTGGGAAAGAAAAAAAAGGAACTAACAATCATACCAAGCAAATACAGTAATGATTTTGTTTACATCTTCATGTTCTTGTGTTTGTTCACATATTACTATTTTGTTCACATAAAACATTATTTTTGAAATGTGTTTATAATGACATAGTGATTTCTATAGGTTTTCCGTATTAGCATTTCAGAAGCGCTGCTGGGAGAGTTTTCGGTATCATTTTTCATGAGTGCAGGAACGCGGTCTACCAGCATTGAGCTTTTATGTGCTTCTTAGCCAACTGTACAGCCTGTACTGCAACCAGAAGGTCACTAAAGCGAACCATACGAAGCTGCTGGTTATGGACTGAATATCGGCAATTTTATGTGGTTTGGTCAAAGTTGGATTTACTATACAACTAATGAAGCTTAAGCTTCAAGCCTTCTTGCTTGTAAGGGTACCTTTTAAATAGCTGCTTTGAACCTAATTTTTTTCTTAAATAGAGGGCCTAGAAGTTGGACAGTCTTTAGGATGGTCAAAAACTGGTGGTGCCCTGGTGTGTATATTCCTTGTGAATCCGAACATTACTCTTCTGTCACTTCAGAGAGGAGCCAAGCAGTCACGATAGTGCCTTCATGTATGCCTGCTGGCTCAGTCACTAGGTGCCAGGTGCACTTTTGTTTTGAGCTCTAAGGTTGAACGTCCATGCTAAACCGATCAGCACGTGAGGTGGGGCTTCTGCAAAGAGATGAAATTTGAGGTCCAATCACTGAGATCTCCAAATGTTTCATGATAGTGGCACAGATTCTGACACCAGAAAAGATCCTGGCAATCTTGTTATTGACATGGGTACTTAAAATACACATTTGGAGGACCAGCTGGGCCTGAGGGAACCGTGTGCCTGTGGTGTGTGTGTGGGGCGGGGGGGGGGGGGGGGGCAGGGGTGCTGGGAAATCCTCTTTCAGAAGCTTTTTCTGTTGCTTGTGGTCCACCCATTAGTGCTTTTGATACTAGTCTTGCCAGTTTTTATTTATTTATATATATATATATATATATATATATATATATATATATATATATATATTCGGTTGATTTGAGTGAGAGAGACGGGGAGAGAGAGAAATATCAATGTGAGAGAGTAGCATTAATCAACTACCTCTTGAACGCCCCCCACTAGGGATTGAGCCCACAACCTGGACATGTGCCCAGACCAAGAATCGAACCAGCAACCTTGTTGCATGGGACCAACTGAACCACACCAGCCAGGGTTGTCTTGCCAGTTTGGGTAAAAGAAATGAAGCTTTATTTTCTACCTTACATGGTGTGCTCCTCTTCCAAAGGTATTTAGATTTCAAAGTGAGCCTCTTCCATTATAACATGCACTTCATTGAAGGAAAACAAAGCTTCCAAATCAGCTACATCACTATGAAGAATTATTACTGTTTTGATAACTGTAAATTGCAAGTCATGATTTTAAAATAGAAATGTTTTCCGAAAACCCTCATGGCATGTTTTTACTCCAGTGTGGAATTGTGCCTTGAATCATGTGACCATTGGTCAGCTCTCGCAGTGTCTTAATGACTCCAGAGAAAGCTTTTGGTAAATTTTGGTTATTAAGTAACAACAGATCTCTTGACCTGAGGATGCTTCCTTAAACCTTTGGGCCTTGACAATACTGCCTGTGTGTCGGCATGGTTCAGAAGGGGCCTGGGTTCCGGCAGTCGCTTCTTTTGGTGATTGGTTAACTTCAGTCAGGTTGCTACTTCTCCAGATCATTTTTAAAAAAATATATTTTTGTTGCATTTTTAGAGGAAGGGAGAGGGATAGAGAGATAGAAACGTGGATGAGAGAAAAACATCAATCAGTTGCCTCCTGAACGATCCTCCCCTCCCCCCGGGATTGGGCCCTCAACCCAGGCATGTGCCCTGACTGGGAATCAAACCGTGACTTCCTGGTTCATGGGCCAGTGCGTAACCATTGAGCACACTGGCCAGGCCAGATCATTTCTTAACTATAAAAAAAATGTATTCAAAAATTCACAATTGGTTGACTCTGGATGAAACAAGTCATTTCATTTAAATTAATAGATTTACATTTTACTCATTTATAAAATTTAAATATTTTATGCTTTTATTAAGCATATTTTCATTTCTGTGGTAGCTTATAGGAAAGGGGCTATTCTGGACCATTTTTTTTTTCCCTTTTTTTAATTAAAAGCAAGCTCAGAAACTTCATCCTCCATTAAAAAAATAAATAAATATTCTTTTCTTTGCATTTTTGTTTTGTTTTTTACTCGAAATGTAATGTTGTAATTTGGATAGCTGCCTGTGTGATATTTAATTTCTGTTATATTTCAACAAGAATCTGCTTCTTCATGATAATCTTATGTCTGTTTTATAATAACATAGTGCACACGTTTATTTAATTCAGTTTGAAAAGCCATTTACGTATCTGAAACACTCAGATACAGCCTTTTAAAAATTTAAAGTGCTCAGAATGTTGGCAAAGCCCATTTATTATGTAATGCCTATTGGTTGAATTTCCAGCGTTCAGTCTCCAAGAATGACTCTCAAGTGATAACTATTTAATGTGCTGCCCACAACAGAGTTTCCAGTCCTAAGAAATGTCAAACAGAATCTTGAGTAAAACAAATGGTCAGTGTCTGGATGGGGTATTACTGATTAAGCATGGCTCGTTAAGTGCTATGTTCCTTTTACCTAATGAGAAATGGTAGCTCTAGGCACTAGGATATTTAGTGTCGGTTGAGGTCAGAACATGCTCAACAATCAACTTAACAGTGTGGCATCAGATTCCCTTTATGGTAGTTCAGGCTCTTTATTGGCCATAAATAACGCCAAGAAGCCCTTTTATGGAGACAATAAGGACAAGATAATTCTGATTCTGGGGTGTGTGTGTGTGTGTGTGTGTGTGTGTGTGTGTATCAGTGACAGGTCAAAAAAAAATTTTTTTTTTTAATAAAGAATTGCTCCTTGCCCTAGCTGGTTTGGCTCAATGGATAGACTGTCGGCCTGTGGACTGAAGGGTTCCAGGTTCGATTCCAGCCAAGGGCACATGCCTGAGTTGCAGACTAGAATCCCAGTAGGGAGCATCCAGGAGGCAGCCAATCAATGATTCTCTCTCATCATTGATGTTTCTATCTCTCTCTCCCTCTCCCTTCCTCTTTAAATCAATAAAATATATATATTTTTAAAAATTGCTCCTTTCAGTCAATACTATGGAACCTCCCTTTCTAGAAGGTGCCTGGGTTCTAGGGCATATTAGCTGATGGCATCTGCCCAGTGGTTGTTGGTCCCCAGCGGCCAGTGGTGGCCAGTGGGACATTCCCAGAGTATGTGCAGAAGCACCCCAATGTAGGGCACATCTCCCGAAATCAGCAGGTCCATTGGCTCTGGCTGGAGGCTATGGGCTTAAGGACCCCGGTGGGAATCAAAGCTGAGGACGGCGAAGGCCTCTGTGTGTCCTGCTGAGCCTGTGTGGAAACATTGCGGCACTAAACAGGGCAATGAGGTGGTGGACTGGAAGGTAAAACTGTCAAACCTAAGGCCTAAGAGAGGCTCTGAAGATGGTGAAAGATCAGAGGCCATTCCAGAAACGCAGCCAGAGATGATGGGAACCTGATAGGAGTTGGAAAGAAAGGACTTGAGGGATGTTGAGAGAGTAGAATCCTGAGGACTTGATGAGAAAAAGGGGAGGAGTTTTGCCTGCCTGCCAGGTTTCTTGCTGACTGTGGACGGTGGTTGTATGGGCCAGGATAGAAGAGAGACAGGTTGGGGCTTCGTGAGAGAGATGAGAAATTCAATTTGGGACAGGTTTGAAGTGATTGTGAAGCCTGAGGGGAAGGAGATTAGAGAAAAATCTTGACTGGAGGTGTAGGGTTTGAGTCATAGGGGTGGGTGGCTCTCCATGAGATGCTAGAGCTTGCAGCACTGGTTTTTAAGTGGCGGTGGCTGTGTTTACTCCTTATGGGCACTGGGAAATGCATATTGGGTTGCTCCAGTGACTTGATGGTCCTACTGGCATTAGTCAGTGGGGGCCAGAGGTAGCAGGCTCCCTGCAGTTGGCACAGCAGTCCCACATGAGCATGAGTGGTCCCACCCAAAGACGGGTAGTGCCCTCCTTGAGGCGCATGCATAGAGTAAAACAAAAGAGAGAGAAACCAAGGTCAGAATTTTGGCCCAGAAATACTTGAGGACCCTCTGGTTGGAGCAGAAATGAAGTAAATAGGATAAGAACTGCATGGACTTCTCTCAAAGCCTCTCCATAATCGAGGCTTCCTTCTCTCTCGAATGCCCTGTTGACCTCCCAGTCAGTACCATGGGCCTGGCAACTGTTTTCTTTGTAACCCTCTTTAAAGGTATAATTGGGGCCCAGCCAGTGTAGCCTTCACAATAAACCTTCAGCAGTTTTACAAAACTAATATTAGCACTTTATTCTTCCTGACAGATTCTTAATTGTGAATTTTTAAAGGAAGACCTGTTAAGTTGAACTAGGCCAGAGAACATGAGACTGTTTACATTGTGGAACCTATTTAATTTTTTGCCTCGAAGCCATGGCCGTTCCCATTGTTTTTTCATTTGCAACTGTTCCTTCCTTACTCGATATTCTGTGTGTTTACCACAGAATCTTTGGTAGATAAAGCAATTGTTTCCCTTAATACAGCAAAGAAGCTTTATTCTTCCTAAAACCGAAATGTCTTCTGCTGA